CAGGCTAATAGTTTGAGGACAAAGATTCTAGAAGCATATTGCCTGGGTTTAAATCCTGGCTAGGCCTCTTGCCAGCTGTCATTTTGAACAGTTTACTTAATCTCTTTCAGGGTTTTTTCATCTGTAAAATAAGGATCATGATAGTATCTATCTTCCTAAAGTAGGATATTATGAGGGTTAGTTAAATTAATTCATGTGAAGCGCTCTGAACGTTGCCTGGAACAAAGGAATTTCTTAGTGTTAGTTGTTAATATACTATAAATATATCCACAGAGAGAAGAATGCTGTTTAACACTGAGCTGAGATAAAGGTAATATTGTAAACTGTAACAAAAAGGAGTAGGTTAGAGTTACTGCATGTTTTTAAAGATATTATCCTATTCTTTATTTTCTTAAATTTAAATATAGTACATGGAGTTTTATCCCTGGAGTCTTTCCCTGGTTACAAGCATGTAGGTATTGAATATACTGAAATTATACCTGAGTGCAAGGTGCTGGCATAATCTTGTTCAGGAGAATCATTCTAAGTTTTTGAATACTAGTGGTGTGGAGGATAGTAGCACAGATGACAGCACAAATTTTGTAGGTAGACTTGCCATTTGAATATCTTCTATGTCTGGACAAGTCACACAACCAGTTATAACCATCATTTCTTTATTTGTATAATGGAGATAATACCATCTATCTTGTGGGCTTAAATAGGGATTAAATAAGACACTGCATGTAAAGAATTTACCTGTGCCTGATACAAAGTAAGCACTGAATGAGTAGTTACTGTTCCTTCCTGAAAGCTTTTATTTACCTTTGAGGCAGTTTGTTCTTTTTCAAAGTAAGATGTCAAATTTCAGACATATTTCTCATAACTAGACTTTCTTACTCTTTTCAGTCGAAATCTTTTATCAACATTGCCAAAATACCTATTTGATCTTCCTCTTAAAGTTTTGGTCGTCAGTAATAATAAACTGGTATCCCTTCCAGAAGAAATTGGGAAGTTAAAAGATTTAATGGAATTGGTGAGTAAAATAGTTGTATTTTTATATATATTTACAGATAATATACATAAGATACACTGTTAACATTTTGGTAGACTACTTATTCCTTTATAGAATTTCAATGTATTTTTTTAAAAAAACTTTGATATGTGTTTAAATTCACTTCAGAAAATTTTGAGGTGTCACTGTGTCTGATTTTGGCTCCAACCCACACAAAGCCTGCTTGTTCCTTAGTTCTAGAGAAGATAGAAGACTCACTTCTGAGCTTTAAATATGCTTTTCAAATGAATAAACATTTTTATTCATTTTGTGAACACTAAATTTCTTACAGAAAAGTTTTTTTATTTGTTTTTTCTTTTTGAGACAGGATCTCACTGTGCAGTTCAGACTGGCCTTGAACTCACTATGGAGCCCAGACTGGCCTTGAACTCATGGAGACCCTCTTGCCTCTGCCTCTCAAGTGCTGGGATTACAGTCGTGCACCCCACACCTGACTGGAAAAGTTTTATTTTTTAAGTTTTTACATGGGTACTGTAGAGCTGTAGAATGATATAAGAGAATAAAATGCCTCTGAATAGTTCAGTTAATAAAATAATGTCTTCTACTATATGCTCATGCGATTTCATAACACTTTTGGGACAAAGATAGATGAAAAGAGGCCACTATATGTAACTAATTATAAAAACAAAATAATTTAAAGTAATTACTTTGAATGTAACATTTTAGGTCTATAAGATATTGAACTAAGAAACCCAGTGGAATCCTCGAAGCATTGAACCATTTTCCTGTTTTTTGGTTCCCCACTACTTCACACAATATACCACTGTGTGTTTATTTTTATTTTCTATTTCATATTGAATAATGCTTTTCTAATGAATAGATACTTTTAAAGTATTCTTAAAAGTAAGTTTTATTTTTTAAGTTTTTACATGGGTACTGTAGAGCTGTAAACTTTTTTCTTAAGTATGATTTTATTATGTCTGGTGGGCCAACAGTTTTCTTAAGGCATTTATCTGAAATTTTATAATAGGAACTGCATCCATTAATCTTCATATGTCATCTTCATTGGATTAAGAAATGCCTAGAAGGGGCTGGGGATTTAGCTCAGCAGCAAAAGCGCCTGCCTGGCAAACTCAAGGTCGTGAGTGCGGTTCCTGGTACCAGAGAAAAACCAAAAAAAAAAGAAATGCCTAGAAGATTAATAATGTGTATCTGGCTGGGTCATGGAGGTGTAGCCTTGGGTACTATATATGTTCCCTTACCCATCCCTCTCTGACATTGTTTCCCTGCTCTGCTCCCTGGCCACCATGAACTTAGCAGCTTTACTCAGCCATGCCCTTCCATCTTGATGTTCCTGCTTTGGAGTCAGGTGATTATGGACTGAAATCCCCCAAACTGTGAGCTAAAAGAAATCATTCATCCTAGGAAATTGTTTCCCCGGGATCCATTTCACCATGCTCAGCAATCCAGACACTCAGAGACTGCTACAGCCATGGCCCAAGGGGGCCTGGCAGCTGTTTCTACCAACAACAGACCTTGGTGCTGTCATTCATTTGGTGCCGGTTTTACTGGCATGTAGGATGCAAAAGATGTGGGATCTGGAGGCTTCCATCCGGATATCAGAGGAATGCATGGGGGGCCAGGCAAAGAGCTCCTGAGAGAACAATATATGAAGTTGTGGGAATGAAGGCAAAGGTACAGTGGAAACCCCAGGACACTGGAGATGCCAGGAATGTGGAACATTGGCCAAGGAAAGGTACAGGTCATGAGTGCAGCCAGCCTAAGAGAAGGGCCTTGTGGGCTGCAACTGGCAAGGCCATAGAAGTAGGGCCACTCAGGCCCCTTGGAATTTACAGTTTACCACCACGTGCCCAGGATGTTGGACATGGAGCTACAGGATTTAGTGTTTGCCCAGGTGGTTTTTGGTTTTGTTTTGGTTGTGTTCTTTTCCTCTCTTTTGGAATGAGAGTATTTACCCTGTGCCATTATATAGTGATACCTTGGTTTTCAAACAGCTCCAAGCACAAACTTCCCACTACTAGAACATAAGTTTAAAAAAATCTGCTTGGTATTCATAACTTTGCTCAATAGTTGAACCAAAAGTCTGACTTGATAAAACATGTATGGGCTAAGAGTGAGTTGTGCATTGCGTCTTATGTCAGACATGAAAGGGTGACAGTTGAAGCACTGCCTTGCCCAGACAACATATAGTGCTTTTGCTAGTGCATCAAAACATTTGTCATTGCACTTTTTTTGGTACTTTATTTGCATAAACCATGGCTCTAAAGAAACCCTGGCTCCAAAGAAAGTTAAGTGATGCCAGTTGTAAAGCTAAGAGGAAAACTGAGAATCCCAAGATAGAGTCAAAGAAAGAAATCATTGTGAAATTTGTTAAAGTCCTGGAAACATGAATTTATAAGTGCAATTTTTGGGCCTCAGAACAAATTATTTAGTTTTCCATTATTTCTTATGGGGAAAATATGTTTAGTTCTTGAACTTTTTAATGTGGTTTTTTTTTTTTTTTTTTTTTTTTTTTTTTTTCCAGTAGGATTTCACTATACAGTTTAGGCTGGTCTTGAACTCACTTTGTAGCCCAGGCTGGCCTTGTACTCACAGTAATCCTCCTGCCTGTGCCTCTC